ACAGAAAAATAGACTACAGACAAAAGTCACCGTTTCTTTTTTCGGGGGAGGGTGCCCCTACTAAAATAGACTACAGAAAAAAGTCACCGTTTCTTTTTTCGGGGGAGGGTGCCCCTACTAAAATAGACTACAGAAAATTTAGACTACAGAAAATAGACTACAGAAAAAAGTCACCGTTTCTTTTTTCGGGGGAGGGTGCCCCTACTAAAATAGACTACAGAAAATAGACTACAGAAAAAAGTCACCGTTTCTTTTTTCGGGGGAGGGGGCCCCTACTAAAATAGACTACAGAAAATAGACTACAGAAAAAAGTCACCGTTTCTTTTCACCGTTTCTTTTTTCGGCGGAGGTTGCCCCTACTAAAATAGACTACAGAAAAATAGACTACAGACAAAAGTCACCGTTTCTTTTTTCGGGGGAGGGTGCCCCTACTAAAATAGACTACAGAAAAAAGTCACCGTTTCTTTTTTCGGGGGAGGGTGCCCCTACTAAAATAGACTACAGAAAATTTAGACTACAGAAAATAGACTACAGAAAAAAGTCACCGTTTCTTTTTTCGGGGGAGGGTGCCCCTACTAAAATAGACTACAGAAAATAGACTACAGAAAAAAGTCACCGTTTCTTTTTTCGGGGAGGGGCCCCTACTAAAATAGACTACAGAAAATAGACTACAGAAAAAAGTCACCGTTTCTTTTTTCGGGGGAGGGTGCCCCTACTAAAATAGACTACAGAAAATAGACTACAGAAAAAAGTCACCGTTTCTTTGTTCGGGGGAGGGTGCCCCTAGTAAAATAGACTACAGAAAATAGACTACATAAAAAAGTCACCGTTTCTTTTTTCGGGGGAGGGTGCCCCTACTAAAATAGACTACAGAAAATAGACTACAGAAAAAAGTCACCGTTTCTTTTTTTCGGGGGAGGGTGCCCCTACTAATATAGACTACAGAAAATAGACTACAGAAAACAGTCACCGTTTCTTTTTTCGGGGGAGGGTGCCCCTACTAAAATAGACTACAGAAAATAGACTACAGACAAAAGTCACCGTTTCTTTTTTCGGGGGAGGGTGCCCCTACTAAAATAGACTACAGAAAATAGACTACAGAAAAAAGTCACCGTTTCTTTTTTCGGGGGAGGGTGCCCCTACTAAAATAGACTACAGAAAATAGACTACAGAAAAAAGTCACCGTTTCTTTTTTTTTGGGAGGGTGCCCCTACTAAAATAGAGAAAAAAGGAAAACGTGGGTACCCATTTTGTAAGCTCTCTACTGGAGGAGCTAGCCGCTAGCCTTTGTCAGTGATACACTTGGGATCGGCCAGTCCAACAGTCCCAGAAATCGCCCGAAGTCCAGCTGATTCTATCTGTGGATCCCCAAAACCTGCGGGCAGGTTTTGGGAGTCCGGAACCCTAAACCCAGCGGTTTCAGTGGATTCCAGGTGTTTCATCGTGGGGAGCTGCCAACAATGGGATCGACCACCAACACGGGGTGTGTCCTTTTTTGTTGTTGGCGCCGAGGGGGGTACCCTCTTCAGAGTTGGTTTAAAGGGAAACCAAAGGAAACCGCTCATTTTGAGGTCTGCTTGAGAGAAACCCACAGGCGTGCCCCTCCACGGTCCGGAACTGCGAGTTCAGCCTGTGGAACGACTGGCAGGCGGGCCCCTTCGGGCAGAAGCCGAGCAACTCGGGGTACCCTGAAGCAGGGGTCAATATTTTGAAGGTTTCAGGGGGTTCTCAAAGTCAGACAATGGCCGGTGGTTTCTCTTTAGCCCACCACTTAGGGAGTGACTGTGATCATATTGTTTCTCTTTAGCCCACTACTTAGGGGGTGACTGTGATCATATTGTTTCTCTTTAGCTCACTACTTAGGGGGTGACTGTGATCATATTGTTTCTCTTTAGCCCACTACTTAGGGGGTGCCTGTGATCATATTGTTTCTCTTTAGCCCACTACTAGGGGGGTGACTGTGATCATATTGTTTCTCTTTAGCCCACTACTTAGGGGGTGACTGTGATCATATTGTTTCTCTGTAGCCCACTACTTAGGGGGTGACTGTGATCATATTGTTTCTCTTTAGCCCACTACTTAGGGGGTGACTGTGATCATATTGTTTCTCTTTAGCCCACTACTTAGGGGGTGACTGTGATCATATTGTTTCTCTTTAGCCCACCACTTAGGGGGTGACTGTGATCATATTGTTTCTCTTTGGCCCACCACTTGGGGGTCGACTGTGATCATATTGTTTCTCTTTAGCCCACTACTTAGGGGGTGACTGTGATCATATTGTTTCTCTTTAGCCCACCACTTCGGGGGTGACTGTGATCATAGTGGAGGCATAGGTGTGCTTTAAGCTCGGTTTTGCAAACAATGAGTGGCACTGGTTTCAGTTGCCTAGTCGTTCACTACCATCGATTTTGCCAAATGGACACCTCGGAATGGAGGTCTATTCCAGGAACGCAACCACTTGCATCTTTAGCCACCCCGCATTTATAGGACGAGTTTATTAATCTGAGGTCAACATGACAACGACCCGCCTTTTGTGCTTTCGGGGTTGGCTGAGGGTGTTTGCACTTTGAGGTGTCAACTGATCAAAACTGCAAAGGAGTAGAAGCTCTTTCTGGGATCAGACAAGTTGCGCTTGATAGTAATGTTTGGGTGCAACTGAACACGCACGATTCTCTTCTTATGACTTGGGCTGAAAGCATCACACAACTCCATGCCAATTCTTTGGGCCGCCTTTCAAGGGAATCAAAAGAAGGTTGCTTAAGCAATTGCGGCGTCGTGTTTCGTCCATGATTAAAGGAGGTGAAAATCGAATCGCACCTCGCAAGTCACCCATGGAGGTTCGAGGACCTGCTGTTGAATCGCCCAAGCCTGGCAGGGTTTTCCCATTGGTCTCCCTCTAAATCCACCAAACCAAGGGGTACCCAATTCCTTCAAAAACCAACAAAAACACCACACCAATTTGGCGGTGTTCCTTTTCGGTTTCCTTTTTGTTTTTTGTTCATCATTGGTTTTCCTTTCGCTTTTTGTGTTTTCTTCACCCAAAAAGCCGCCCGGAAGACTTCCGCTCGGATCTTCCCGACTCGACTCGCCTCGGCTTCGCCAAAAAACGCGCGCGCGGGAGGCCTGCTCCCAGCCCTGCGGCGGAGGGCAGCAGCACCGGTCCCGCGTGGTCATGGTGGAGGCGGGCCGCAGCATGCCGCCGCCGGCTGGGGCGCTGTGGCGCTGGTTGTGCTGGGCGTAAGTCTTCTGTCGGGGTACCCGTTTTTAGGGTTGCTTTGAAGGGGAACCAAAGGGAACACGCGAGTTTGATATTATTATTTTTTTTGGGGGGGGGTCCCTGTTTTGAGACCAGCCCTCGTTTTTGTGAGGGTACCCATTTTTTGTGGCGGGTTGCAAACGGATGTTGGTGGAAAGAGCTCGATGTCGCCCAGTCTCACTTCCTGATCAGCAAAAGACACCAACGCGATCAGTTCTCCACGTTTGGCGAAACTAAGTATTTTGAAGGAATCAAACTTTCAACCACCCAGGCGAACGATTCGTTTCCCGCGGAAATCAGCTTCAGACAAATTTTGCAGCCAACAGTGCTTGCACAAGTAGAAGAAGCTTCAAGGGTTCACAAGCCTTCCGAAGGGGCGAGCAAAGATGGCGAGGCTTGCCAACAAATCAAATTAGCTTCGCCTGACAGGCAGTTGAATGGCTGGATGATGAAGGGAATCAACAAACCAGTGGCCCCCAGCTGATTACCCGAACAGATGACAACCAATACAAATTCATGTTTTCTGACTGAGCTTCAAATGACTGCAGCTGGCATGAAGAATATCGATACTGATCGATGCCGAGACAGAGGCCTCGCATGTTTGGCTTTGGATCACTAAACCAGGAACCTTGGGACATCTTGGGACATGTCAAAAGACCAGGTTGCCAGGTGCTTTTGTACAATGTTCGTGTACCAACTCGCACTCTTTGGGTATATTCAGTTCTCCTTTGGCTTCCCAAACCGGCCCCAAACAGGGCAAGCGGCAAAAGTCACCCAAATCCTCGAGGCACGTAGTTCAGAGGCGAGGCGCTGGCACGCAAGCTTTGAGTCCAAACGCGGAGGCGGCCTGTGTTGGGACATCATTTCTTTGGTGCATGTTGCCTGGATGTTAGGACTTTAACTTTTTGCCAACTAATGGATTTGTCCATTAAACCACCAAAAGTTATTGTTTTTTTAGTAGGGGCGCAGAAAGCAACCGAGATGTTGCATTGAGTTGACGAGGTATGGACGCGCAAATGTCTTTTAGCGTGCGTTTGGCGCATTCCTACTGTAGAGTTTCCATGGGACCTTGATTTGAGCAGGGAAGCAGGATGCAGGGTTCTCCTGTCGACATTTTGTGACCCGCGTTTGGAGATTGTTCTGACCGTTTCTGGGTTGTTCAAAGTCATACATTGGGGATGTTTCCATTTATGCCTACCACTTAGGAGTGTAACCTTGACAATGACAAAATGGGGGAGCTAGAATCAAGGGACCCTCTCAGAGAAGATTTCGACGCGTGGGGCCCGACAAGCAGAGCTCTCTTTCTCCAAAAAGTTATTGATTTTCGATAAAGTTCAACGAGCAAAAGCGAGTTGGATGTGCATGTTGGCCGCGCGCCATGTCGAAAGGGCTCGGCCCAAAAAGCTGAGCAGCTGTTACGAGCAGAATATGGCAGGCTCCGCGTAGATGACCTTATTAATCCGTATTAGCAAATCAGCCCAAGTGGTGTTTTCAGCAGCAACCCCCGAACCCTTCCAGGCCTTTGCTTGCGAGCCAGACACCCAGGAAACCTGCAGCTAGGATGTCCAATCCTTCGCACCAGAGGCCCAGACCTGGCCTTCACGGCCATCAGTTCAGTTAGGAAACACCCTCCCCACTTACCAAACCCAACCCAATCCCAACCCAATCCCCCAGCCACCCCCATCCACCCCCATCCACCCCCATCCACCCCCAGCCACCCCATGCACCCCATGCACCCCAGCCACCCCCTTTCTGGTCGCGCCATCCGGCGGAAATTCTCGCCCCGTCCGCATGGCGGACGTGGCGCCGCCGCCGCCGCCCTATGTGCCGCCAGCCAAGCGGCCGAGACCGCTAGAGCCGGAGAAGTCTCCCAGCGTGCCTCGGCGCTGAAAGGGGCACTGTACGTCAGGCAAGCGGAAAGTAGCCATGGGTATAACCCACACAAGCCATGGTTTTAAGTTTCCGTTCAGGTGATAAACTTAGTGGATAGGCATGAGAAATGGAATGACCCCGAAATAAACCATCCAACTGGTGGGTTCCTTTCAGAGGACTGGGTTCATTCCCACATTCCATACTGAGCACCAGCAAGATGAGTTGCCTGCGGTCCATGGGTGGCTTCATTTTGACCCATAGCCGTCTTGGTAATCAGGTTTGGTGTATGCTTAAAGGGAGTGGAGAAAAACCATGGGTGTAGCCCACAAAAGCCATGATTATAGGCCTCCTAAGTGGGTTATAGCCAGGCTTAGGGAATGAGAAAGGGAATGACCCCGAACTGAACCACCCACCATCCCTTGTGGGTTCCTATAAGTTAATAAGGGGACCCCCTTCCGGTTCATTCCCAACACCCCGAGTCATTCCCTGCTGAGCACCAGCAAGAACATGGGACATGCAGCAATGGACCCACCCCCCCAAGGTACATGATTCCCAAAATATTACGAAACCACGCAGCCTCAAGACAATCACATCCCGAAACATGATGATATATCCCAGTTCAAGGAAGCAAAACACGCAATTTGATGAACAAAGTATTCCTCCCTTTTCTCAGCTTTTGGGTCTGTCTGAGACGTAACCCCACAAACAAAACCCTCTGCAAAGGGGACAAAGGAAGCTACAGGGAGAGTCCGGAGTCGAGTTTGCAAGGGGGTCTCCATGGTTCCCCTCTGTGTTTCAACGCCGTTTGTTGGTTTCCTCAGACTCAATGAGTCAACCAAAAGGTGGCCCCAAGTCTTTCAATCGTGCTCTTGGGTTTCGGCGGGGCTCGTTTAAGCCAGATGTTTTGATGTTTCCCTTGACCTCGGGTCCACGCAACACAGAGAAGTCTGAAAGTCCTGGCTTGGTCTAAACAGGACCCTGCATTTGGAGACGTGCAGTTAGTCCACATATAGTGGTTTTCTGTCTGCAATGATACGGCTCCGATCCATACCTCCGGGTTTCTGTTTGGCCCACTTCCAACAGTCGGGTGACATGCCACAGTTCCCCTTGGTTCAGTCATCCTTTGTGCCCATGGGAGTTGTGCCCATGGCATTGTTCACAGTGTGGTTGGCGTTGCGCGTGGTTCCACGGCGCAGTGCGTCATGTCCGTCGATCCCATGGCGCTCTGTGGGACCCCCGCGGAAATCGCTCAGGACAAGAACTCGTACCGCTTGCGGCCTGGCAGAGCTCTCGGGAGCCGTTCCGCTTTGGTTCGGTGAATTTCAGTGGACATTGGTTGAGTCGACTACACAGCCATGATAGTTACGTGTATCTCAGAGTGTGTCACAAATACAATGGATCAATGGCTGATTGTAGAGGTCCTATATGAATCCAGGGCCATTTTGGACCCTTTGGGGGCTGATTTCCCACAATGAAGCCGTAACGAACGGTTAATTAGCCCACAAGGTCATAAAGACTAGGGGTTCATACCAGGAGTCCACATATGGACGTATACATTCAGCCTTGGAATGGATAGATTTGTAGGGTTTATGCAACCCATCAGCCATCAACCAGTTTGAGGGGGTCCATCCACCGTGGGATTCACAGACTCCAACACAACGGGTTTGGGTTCAGTTTGGGCCGGAACTTGGCAAACATTTTAAGGATTGTGGGTTGTCAAAATAGGAGACCCCCCCAAAATGGCCGGGGGGGGTCCTTTGGTTTCCATTCAAAGCAAGCCCAAACGGGGGTGCCCCAGAATCGCGGCTCCATTTGACCCAATCCATAGCAGTGCCGCAAGCCGTCCAGCCGGCGAGGCTGGTGTTCCCCAGCGGGTTCGAGGCGTTGCTGGCCGCAGCCTGAGATGAGTGTCGGAGCCGGTACGTCTGTTAGTTCCTTGCATTCAACTCTGGACCTCGGGGGGGCTACCATCACGGAATGACCACCGATTTGGCTCTCGCTCCTTGAGTTCTTGCACTTTGGTTACTTTGTGGTTTTGGACCTTTTAGAGGTAAAACAGAGGTTTCATTTTTTGCCAGTCCACTCAGGCAGTGAGTTGTCCAACCAGGCCCGTTTGATAAACACTTTCATGCGGCCTCTTGGTTGCCCCTTTTTTCGGAACGTGTCTGCCAGCTTGTTGTTTGGCGGGCGCTGGTTTATGGCCCCAAACCAAAGGCTGGGGGTTCGACAATTGGGGCCACCTCCTGTGGCAGCTTTCAGACGGACAGACCGAAACACCGAAACACCTATTTGCTTGGTGGCTCCCAGCCATCCGGTTCCTTAGCTTTTTAGCCTGTTAGTGTTTAGTGGTAGTTTTCATTCAACCCGCTAAAACTTAAACTGTTAGCGGGGAATTTGAGGGCAGCCCAGCTTGGTGACGATTTGATTTCTTATTGGCTGGGAAAGTATCCAGCATGTCGGGGTGTAAAGGGTACCCTTACAACAGCACACCCAAACGGAGCACGCCCCCAAACAAAAAAACATGGGTGCCTAGATAGCCAAGTTGCGGCTTTTTGTTCCAGACGCCGTACCCTGAAAACATTCACAGTTGCTGAGGAAAATGCGCCAGGCGATCCTGGTGGATATGTGTCAAAGCAAGGGGACCCAGAAGGTTGTTCGAGGTTTTCCAGTTGGTTTCTGTTTGAGCAGCGGGTTCGAGCCTAACAGACAGGTGGTGTCAACTGGTGAACCTTCGCGGACTTGATTCATTCATTTTGGAACCATTTGACTTTATCTAGGTCCCCCAGTAGTGCCCCTTCAACCCTTTTTCGGGGGTTCCCCTACTAAAATAGACTACACCTGATTCTAACCTCTCTACTGGAGGACCTAGTTATACTTTTTGGGTTTGGGCCAATTTAAGAGGCATACAACAAGTTGGAGCACCTTTTCTTGGCGGCCACCCCCTCAGGAGGTGAGTCCTGGCGTCCTTTTAAGCGCAGGTCTCCAGCGCGGATGTCAAGAAGAGCCGCGCGGCCTGCGCGGTGGCGGTGGGTGCCGGGTCCTTCAACGACCCCCCGAAGTGCCAGGAGCGCGTCGCCGGAGTTGCCGGAGTCGCGTTGATGGGGCGGCAGGATGGTAGGTGTCATTTTGGATTGGTGAGTTTGGTATCTTGTCCATTCTTGTCCATTCTGGTACATTCAAGCTATCTGAACACATTCAAACTATTGTTGACCCCAGATTAATAAACCCCGGTTTATTAATAGGGGAGTCCCCCTCCAAAAGTGGTCTGATTCCCCACTAAACGCAGGGACGGTGAGGTTGGGTAAACGTACTGGTGGGCGGGTGCGACATCCAGAAATCGCACCGGTCAGAAACCATGGACAACAAAACACAACGTTTGTGGGTATGTACAGGCGAATCATCAGAAACCCAGGGGTTCTTAGGTGGTGCAGGATTTCGTCCTACCACAAATGGCGCTGGTTTGGACGGGCTTTATTCCAATTACCAGGGACGCCCATCTGTTGTTCCTGGAACAACACCAGGGCCTGAATCAGAACGGGCTTGTGGGGTACTCTTGAAACCGAAATGATCAGATATGCTGTTTTTTGCTTGCCATGCTTGCCCCTGATTGCCGGCTTGGTTGCCTTTCTCACCGGTTGCCCGGACTCTACTCCCCAAGGCCAAAGTGTGGGCTGGCAATTTGGTTCGGTGTCTTTGTTTAATTGGTTTGGTTGGTGGGGAAAAGATATACCAAGTATGGAAGGGGGGGAAGTCCAAGTGGTGCTAAGGCACTACGGTATTGGATTTTTTAGGGTTTGGAGGTACTTGGTTAGAAAGCCATGAGCAAACAAATGTCCACAAGTTTTCCCAGGCTCCATTTGTTTCCAGAACCCCAACACCTCCCCAGACAGTCCTGTGGTTTTGCTGGGGGTGCAGCGATGTTTGCCATCCCTGTAGCCTGTAATTGACCTGCTTGAGCTTGTGTTGTTTCATAACGGTTGATGACACCAACGGTGATTTCAGACAGCCCGGAGAGGAATAAAAGCCACCGGCCCAAGAGCCCAAGAGCACACCTGGCGTTTAGAGCTCCCGATTTCGCAGGGCCTGGCGCACTTTTTGGAGCACATGCTCTTCATGGGCAGCGAGAAGTACCCAGGCGGGGGAGGGCGGTCGGAGGGCGCCAGTCAGATGGTCCTAGGATCAGGGAAACCAACGAGCAGGGATACAGGAAAAACCAAAAATACGGGAGGATTATCCCGTTTGATGCACCTAAACTAAGTTTGATATGGGAAATGGCGCCAGGGAATCCCCCCATCCCCGCTTCCTCCGTATCCCCGCTTGTTCGTTTGTCCTGCAGAGCATGGATGGTTCCGGCGTGAGTTTTAGGCAAGGGGTCGCTTTGACACAACTGATGGTTTTGGCAGGCTTGACCTGATTGAAGCCAAAATGGCATCCCTAAGGGTGTGATGGGCTTGGTGTGCCAATCTTTCCAGGTGGCAACAACCCTGCCAGAGGGGTTTATTGGGTGTCTTTTTTTCATGGTCCCCCTTTTTTGGTGGCTTTAAAGGGACACCGCAAGGAACACCAATGCCATTTTGGCGGGGGTCCCCGATTTTGAGACACACCTATTTAGTTTTTGTATTTCCCTCTCACCAATTAGCACGGAACCTGACAGGGGCAACCACTTTGTTTCAGCCTATCCTGAATTAATCAACACATGGGCGGGGTGTTTCACAATAGGGCCCCCTTCAAACATGGGTTGGGGTCCCTTTCAGGTCCCTTCCAAGCCAACTCCCAAGAAGGTATCCCAAGAACTTCCCCAACACGATTCGGGGTTCCCTTTGAACCAATCCCAAAAAAGCTTCCGCCACCAAGCACCCTCTCATCCCATCCCATGTTGCGGCTCGCCTGTGCCCATGGCGGAGAGGCGAGGACGAGATGGAGTCCTTCCTCTCGAAGAACGGGGGCTCCAGCAATGCCTTCACCGACTGCATCCGGGATGAATGTGGCCATGGGGCACAACCTATGGCGATCCCATTGGGTGGTTGCTTTGTGTTGTTTTTGGCTGGACCAGACCTCCGGAGGTGCGCGTTTGCCTTTCTCTTTTTGTGGCGGACGTCCCTCTGACAAACCCGCGACCAAAAAGGGCGCACCATTTTCCCGGTAGGACATCCCCATGAGCTCTTGGCTTAAATTGCAGCCGCCGCACCGGTCGGGGGTTTTCGACCAATGATGCTTCATCCTAAAAATGTGTGTTGATTTTAGAACCTTATTGGCAACTGACCTGTTGCCTTTGCCACTTTGGGTTCTATTTTTCAGGCAAGGGCCCAAAAGGTGGACCATTGGTCAAATTGGGCGGGGATGGAGACGTTGCCCCGGAATGAGCCACCAAATGCAGAACACGGTCAAACCTTGAGCCAAGTATCCAGCGGGAAAACTTACTTCCCTGCAGGGCTCTTCTGAATGGATGCGTTTTAGAATAGCGGACCCCCTCCCCCCCCTCAAAGCAGAATCCCCCAACAGGGTGCCGCTCGAGCCTCAAAAAGACCTCGTGCCTTGGGCCAAGTGAGCTTCTTGTGGCGTGGGAGGCTGAGAGGGGCCTGAGATCTTTTTTTCTTGCGGGCTTCGCATGAGGAAAGGCCTTTCAGGGGCCCTGGACTTGGAACCTTGAGATGTGACCCAAGAGACTTGCGATCGGTGCGATAGGGAAGGAGAATTGGAATGGACCTATTCCCTTAGAGGAAACCACCAGTTGGATGGTTCATAGGGTTCATTCCCTCATTCCCTGCCTATCGCACCAGCAAGTTGAAGTGCGTTTCCTTCAGACGCCAAGATTTTCCACATTTTGAGCCAGTTAGTTTCAGAAGGGGTGCTCCCCCTGAGGCACGCACACCTGCTACTACTTCGAAGTGGACAAGGCTGGCTTGCACACTGGCCTGGATATGCAACTTGGCAGTTCCCAGCCATACCTTAGGATTTAAAACTATTAGACTTTCGAGTTTAGATAGAATTTGACATATCCCACTAAGGCAGCCAAACACAACTGCGTGTTCAGTCAAAATTCCTCATCAGTTTATTGTTCATTTGGGAGGGACACTCGAGGAGGAGCAAGAAGTTCCCACAAAAAAACAGGGGACTCAGGAATGTCCCGCTGGTGTCAACCACATATTCTGACCGGTGCACTGGGCATGTTTTGCGGGGGAAGCCAAAGCAAACCCCAACCATTTTGGTGGAGAGTCCCCTTTTTTGGTTCTCCCACAAACCCAGATTCCTTATTGCATTCTTGCTGCCATTGTCACCCTTTTAGCTTTCCACCAGGCTCTAGCAATGATCATGGGTGCCAGGAATCAACCCTTTGCAAACGCGGCTTGGGATTGTTTGACAAAACATGCGGTTGCAACCTGTCTTACCAGGACTTGTTGGGAAGACCACATGTTGGGGATAAACAAGAAGTTTGTTTACTTGTTTTGGCCGCTGCACTCAGGAATCTAAGGGTAGCTGCCCCATTCTTTCCAGGGATCCTTCTTTCTGGGAAACCACAAACGACCATGGGAAACAGCTGGTTTTGGAAAAGAACGATGGTTGAAAATAATGGGGAATCAACCCCTAGAAGGGAGTGAGTTTTGGGCCGATACGTCAGCCGAGGCTTGCTCAGTTCTTCGTCGCCCCGCTGCTGAAGACCAACTCTGCGGAGCGGGAGCTGCAAGTGACTCGGAGAGGAAGCGACGGATACCAACCTTCCATTTAACCAAGTAAATGGGGCAGATACACTGTAACGTCCAAACAGCCAAATCACGAATGAGGGGTAAGATGAATTGCTGTACATTCCGTTTGTTCAAGAATATGTTCTTTATTTTCCCCTGTTGGCTTTAAAAGGAATCGATCACTACTGGACATATTTTTCCATTTTTTCCAGGGGGCTTAAGCAAATGGGTTTTGGTGTGGCACCTATGCGCCATCTTCTAAGCACTTGGTACCTGGGGTTTGGAAGTATAGTCATCAATCCTTCCGCTGGTACCATTTGTTTGAACGGAAGCATGACTACAAGCCGTTGTTGGATTTTGATCATGGCACATGTTTCGGTAAGAACTAGGAAATGGCTTTAGCTGTGCCTCTCGGAGACCTGTTTTTGGAACATTGCATTATATAAGTTTGTGAATACTATTTCTCTGGGGGTTGGCGACATGTATTCATCCCAGTTGGTAAATGGGCTTAGCATCGGAGACCTGCCATAAAGTTTCCAAGAGGTTCATCCCAGAGGATGCATGTCTGCATCCCAAAGACCTACATCCAGGGGCGATCGGGTACTTAGTGAGTGGCTAGTAAGCCAGGTTATAACCCATCTCAGAGACATACAACCATGGTAGTTCGAGGACCTGCTGTTGAATCGCCCAAGCCTGGCAGGGTTTTCCCTTTGGTTTCCCTTTAAATCCACCAAACAAAGGGTACCCAAGCCTTCAAAAAAGCAAAACAAAAACCACACAGGGCTTACTAACCACTAGGTACAATGCCCTTTCAGTGTCGGTCCCATCGCTTCGAGGCCATCGAGTCCGAGTTTCGGCTCACCCAGAACTCGGACGACTCGCGGCTGGAAGCCTTGCTGGGCTCCTTCGCCGCTGGGATGCCGCGAAACCGGCGGCTCTTCATGCCGCGTGTAGGGGATGAATTTGGAGTGGATGAGAATCCCTCACAACAAGAACATAGGTGTCCTTTTTGCTCGCTTTGGCAGAAAAAATAGATATGGCCCAGGTTTATCAGGTTTAATCATCTACCAGGGCCGTTTATTTCCCCTAGGAGGACACCTATGCCACAACCTCCCCCCCAAGCCCCTTCCAATTAAAACAAAATGGAAGCGCGAGGGGTGGCGGGGCAGAAAGTGAAGTATTGGGGGTGGGGGGGACCCCCTCCCCGCGCGAGGCGGTAGTGATAGTGGATGTGTTTGGTGGACATAGTGATTTTTGTTGGGCTATGACTTGCTGGTTCGATGGGGAATGAGAAATGGAATGACCCCAAGGAAAACCATCATCTCCGATTGGGTTTCCTTTAAGAAGCTCCGCTTCCGGTTCATTGTTTCAATACCTGGAAGGGCATTCCCTCCCGAGCACCAGCACGATGTCTTTTGATTGGTTGAACTTTTGGATGGACATTTGCAGTACATGGGGGTTCATGTCCGCCAAGCATTTGTGAGGGCGCTCAAGCCCTAGCAGCGTACCTGGTCTCAATTATATACTATGGCAACTTGCGCAAGTTCAGGCATCCTTCTAGAGGCTAATGTCCTACTCTGCTGAACCATCATTCTTTCTACATCAGCCATTTCCCTTTGAGCTGTTGGTCGCTCCTTGCCGCCGCCTCTTTCCTGGCATCCGTCGCACTCACAGGATCCCATCCCTGCTGACTTCCCCATGTAAGACGGAAATAAATCTGACCAAGAGGCTTATTTGAGGGGGGGGGGATGCGTTGGGATCCCATTACAGACGAAGCGAGAAGGGGATGTGCCCAGAAGATATTTCGGGGGGGGGGGGGAGTACGATATTTAACAGTGGTGACATATACATACTATATAATATGCATATATATATATATATATGTATTAATATATTTATCATATGTAGTGTATGTGGTGAAGCAAAAGCCCACCCTTCAATTGGCCGTATGTACATTGTATTATACTATCTTCCCAGTGTTGTGTGGATCTCAGACATGTATGTGTACTGTGGATGGACAAAATCCCAGTTTGGACGGATGAAACCCTGGGGATAAACCACACATCTCAACTGGTGCCACAGTACTGCGGATGCATTCCCCAACGTAAATCCCACCATGCATTGTGGTTTCAACCATGGTTTCTGCACCACCCAACAAACCTGGGTTTCTGATGATTCCCCTGTAAAAACCAACCAAGAATGGTTTCGTTCAACCATGGTTTCCTAGGTCCCCCAGTAGTGCCCTTCTTCTCTCCCCTTTCTTGGGGGAGGGTTCCCCTACTAAAATAGACTACAGAAAACATTGGGTACCCTTATTCTAACCTCTCTACTGGAGGACCTAGTTTCTCATTTGGTGCGAGAGGCGGATTTCATGTGGCGGCCATCTGAGGCCAAGCCTGGCCATCCCTTCCGGAAGTTCGGATGGGGCAATCTTCAGAGCCTTCAGGCGCGCGCGCGCAAGTGGAAAGCTAGGCAAGTGGTTCCAGTGGTTCGAGCTTGGCCCAAAGGCGGACTTTCCTTTTGGCCCTCCAAAATTGTGTTTGGTTTTTGGGTAGTTACTGCAGACTAATTCCCTACCTTAGCAACAATGATGAAAGACAGGAGGGCTTTGGAAGACGACTTTCCTTTTGGAAAGCCACGATCGTCCACTTCCATGATTGTTGTAAAGAAGGTACACATGACTAATCTGAGCATTTGTTTGGTGCATGAAAGCAACTCCTGTGGGTAGGGAAGAAACTATCGTCACTAGTCGACTGGAAATGACGTGTTAGGGTTCCCGTGTTAGGGAGTTTCAACACTTTTGGGTTTCAGTCGTGTGGGGTAGTCAAAAAGTGGAATCCCTCTCCAGGCTTTCACCTACGCTGCCACGTTGCACCTCTGCTTTGACCGGTTGAATCTGCGTTTTGCTTCTACTCCCCAGGCTAACATGGAACCCCAAAAAGCCCATCGTGTTGTTTTTGTTTTGTTTTTAACACATGTCCTTTTCTTTGGTGCATGTTGCTTGGATGTCAGGACTTTACCCAACTAGTGGGTTTTCCATTAAACCTCTAAAAGTTGAACTTTTAGCAGGGGAGCAGAAAGCAACCAAGTTTTGGAAATATAGATCCCCTCTTGGGGGGGGGGTTCCGAACGGTTCCATGCCAACCTGCGGGGGAGTAAGTGGGTGTTTCATGGTTCAAAGTCACTGGGCACATGAGGCTCAACCCTGTGGGCGCTTGGTTTGGAGTTGATATCATGTTAGGGTTTTGTTTTCAATAGCGAGGACCTCCGAACAAACCACCATGATGAGGGTCCATGGCCTAGTTTAAGCCACACGTTTTTCTTTCTAGGGTGCAAATTGTGGTTTTTGAAGTGAGGACGTGGCACCTTCCTTTTTGAGTGTACCCTTGTTCCGTGTTGCCGTCAAGGGAAAACTTGGGAAAACCACCTTTTTCGGGCTTGCACCAAAAATTGGGCCGGTTGCAATGCTTGTTTCGTGGATAGCCATACTTGATGTGGGGACATATATATATATATATACACGTGCTTGTGCAATCGGGCACCCCTGAAAGTGGCTGGTTTCACCCACCAGCCAGCTTGCTCTGAACACTTCACCAGCGAATCGCAGCCATGCCATCGTGGGTGACCCGAATGCAGACAACACCCGTCCCGTGAACCAAGAAGCGCAGGAAGAGCCCAAGCGCCGCAAAGTGGACGTCTACGGGGAGCTTCTGCGATTCTTCGCGTTGCACTACCAGGCTCTCAAAGGTTATTTGGATTTTGGGTGTGTGTTTTCTTGAGGGTGCACTTGTTTTTGTTGGTTACAGGGAAGCCAAAAGGGATGCCGCCAGTTTGGTTGGTAGTTTCCCTAAAAAAGACACCGATTTGGGAAATCGCAAAGGTGTCATTTCGTACCGACTTGGAACATTGTCCTTAAAGAAGGTCTCCCGCCCATGTGGCGAAGTTTCGGTGAGTGTACAATCGTTTGGTAGATGTGGTACCCCTCTTCAAGAGATGGTCTGTATGTGTCCCAAATTAAGAAAGCCAAATAGCAAAGAGTGCTCGATCCTATACCCCCCTGAAAGACAAGTGGCCCAGTGCCCATAAGGGGCATCCTTTGGAGCCTGCAAAGTAACAAGCGTCAAGGACGATCAAAGACGAACCCGGCCAAATATTCTTTCATACCGATTGAACCGGCGGGTTCAAGCAAACAGTCACTGCACTCGCTGGCGACAGGAGTGAGTGAAGACCAACCGGCCGCCGTGTCAAAGGGAAAGTGTGGGGTCTCCCAGAAGGACGATATGGTTTTTGGGGTTCCATGAATATCTGCAGGAAAGTAAACCAATGAGTTGTGGTTGCGTTTGGAGTTGAACACACCTTTTGTTGGATCAATTAATATTGCCATTGGATTCTCATTCCACATCTAAGAGTGGCTTCTTCATACTCCGTATTTCCAGTGAAAAAGTTCCTGTTCTTTCGAGCACCCCACCCTTTCCGTTTTGGGCCCGCCAGCCAAACAGGGAACTCAAATGGAGGTGAAACACAGGCACGGCCCTTGGACTCGCAACATCCCCGCAGTGCAACTTGGGATTTCATAGGGTTGCTGAAGCGGCCGCAGGCCGCTGCTCTGGCCTTGTCATGGAGATCCTTAGATCCTTTTTTTCTACGCGCTTCTTGGGTCCCTTTAAAGGGAAAGCCAACAAAAACCGGAGCACTTTGAGGCCCCTTCAGTACCTGGAACCGATTCCCAGTTTCCCAAAAAAATCCGGTTGCGCAGTGACGTGCCCTTGTGTCAACATTTCTTTGGGAAGGGTTCTGATGCCTTTAAAGTCAACCAACCAACAAAGGTTGCCCTTTTTTTCCGATGGAAATCCACTGGGCATCTGCGAAATTTGGTGATATGCCCATCTTGGTATCCTCTGCAAGCGGCCTGCGAGCCTCGCATCTGTCTGAACTCCACCGAAGGCCTCCGCGCTGCGGCTCTGCGTCTTCGGAGTGGAGTCCCTGGATAGCCTCGAGCGCCTTTTGCGGAGAATTGGAATTCTGAGACGCGCGGGTGGCCTCCTTTGCTCCCTTTTTTTTGGGAGGGGTTTCCCTTCAAAATCAACTACCAAAAGAGGGCTAGGGAGGGTTCTTTGCTCCCTTTTTGTTCTTTTTTTTGGGGGGAGGGAGGATTCCCTTTGAAATAAGAAACAGAATAAGAGGGGCCTTGCTTTCCATGGCTACCTTGGGTGGGGCGTTAACAACCAAACTCTGGCATTCAAAGGGGAATCCAAGCGAGATTCTGTGAGCAATACTGTGGATGGACGAAATTATGCACCAGTTGGTAGGAGGTTTATTCTATGTATAAAATTTCATCTATCCCACTGGCCGGCAGGTCAGTTTGGATGAGCAGAGGAGTCCACTGAACATCTCAGGCTAGTGCTAGTCATTTACCAGTTGCTAGTGTCCTCTCTTTTTGCAAAAGGATGTCATAGAACCTTAGGACAAGGAGAGTTTCGTTTCAGTTGTTTGGTGGATTCCACAGGTTCTGTTGCAAATCCCTTGTTGTTTGGTGTGTTTGGGACCCACTGAAAATGGGATCGAGCCCTGAAAAGGGTTCCAATTCCCTTTTTGGACCATGATCAGCTTCAGTTTGAGGACCATACCTCATCAGAGTCCCAGAATGAAAGCAGTCTGACCAAGGGGAACCACCCCTAAAGAGTGGTCCTCCGAGAGCTACGACGGGTTTTAGGACTAAGTTTCCGAGGTTTCGCCTCGCTTGGTACTGTGGATGGTTGCGAAATCCATTTCGCACCATGAAATGAAACCATGGTTGTCAGTATTTACAGGGGCATCATCATTCCAGGATTTCTTAGGTGGTGCAGGATTTTGTCCATCCACAAGATATTTATGTTCAGCCTTTTTGAGCTTTGTTTTGTTCTGCTTCTGTTTGGGGCTGCAACGGGGCCAGTCTCAATCAAGGGTGTTTGACCGACGTTGCTTTTTTCAGGACTGGGGTGTGGGCCAGGTTCTTTCTTCCAGTATGCCATTTGGTTTGGAGAATGGGACTTGGCTTTGGCGGTGTTTGTGTTTGGTGGGGCTTGCTCAAATTCAGGCAAGTTTCGAGGATTTAGACCCTTTGTTCTTGAGTAAACCAACAAAAACAGCACCCCCCAACATCCAAACCCGCCCAACCCACCCAAACCGCCCATGAACGGAAAGCTGAATGATGCCTTGAGCAGTTTTGGGGCTTGCCTTTTGCACAGCGCGCTGCTTGAACACTTGGGATTGGCGAGATCCTGCAGCAGCTGGCAGCTGATTTAACATTCGTGGAGTTTCGTTCATCCCAACTGGTGCGTGTTGCTGATTTGATCCTTTCACATCGGAGAAAAGGGGATACTATGGATAGACAAAATCCGGCGCCACTTTGAAGCCATGCGGAAACCATTGATTGTTGGTATTTACAGGGGAATCATCATTCCAGGGCTTCTTAGGTGGTGCAGGATTTCGTCCATCCACAGTAGGTCTCTCGGGTCGGCGGGCTTCGACTCGACAGCGAGCCAACGAATCCGTCGAATCCATCGCCGAGATCCGCGGTGCGGCGCTCCTTCGCAGAGTTGGAGGCGGCCACGGTGCCGCGCCAGCCCAAAGAAGACCCGCCCTTCGAGGCGGGCGGGGGTGGAGGTGGGAGGGCGGCAGGGTTGGGGTTGGGCGCAAAAACGTGTTTCTTTCCCAACAAAACGGGGTCCCCGTAGGGTCCCCGTAGGGTCCCCGTAAAAGGGGAAACCAAGAGGGAGGGCCGTACGAAGGAAACCAAGCTGGCAATCGGAAGGAGGTTGAACAAAATGGCTTGAACATGTGTTGAACGGCCCAATGGCCCGGAAGCCCAAGAGAAAGATGTGGCCGTACTGGCCCCAATGAAGGGGTCCTGCGTTCATTTTCTTGGAATGTGGGTACAGCAAGTTCTCAAGCCAACTCTTTTTGTTGGGGATACTGTGGATGGACCAGTTGGTAGGTGGTTTATCCCATTATTTACAATCCATCCCAAGTGGTATGTGATTTTGCCCACAGCATGGCAGAGTTCCTGGGATGTAGATGTTGTAATGGGCAGAGGGACGGGTTTGGTGCAAAATCGCACCTGCCCCAGTGGCTCAGTCTCAGAGTGGTGTTCTGTTTCAGGGCACCAGAAAATGAATCCATGTCTGCACCTTATCGGACGCCCACTTCAAAAAGAGCTTCCTGTAATTTGGATCAAAGTTTGGTAGCATGTTACATCGTTGCCCTTTGTGTAAGAACATGAAACAACACATCTTGAATTTCTAGTGTTGTTGCACTCTCTTTCCCCTAAGAACAACAACGAACCCCCCTCCCAATAGTAAATATTCTTTGGTGCCCAAACAATGTTTGTTGGTAGGGTAATTGGGGGTCGACGGGACTTCTCTTCGGTCCTAGTCTAAATGGGCTCCCCCATTTCCCGGACACGGAAAACGTCAAAATCGCAATTTTTCGAGTAACAAATCTAAACAAAACCGTTCAAGGTTGTTGCTTCGTTTTTGGGGTGCAAAAGTAAAAGGTAAAGGTATACTGGGATTGGTAATTACATATAGACTAGCAAAAGGCAAGTATGAAGTTATAACTTGAAAGCAACCTGCGCAAACACCCGCTGATAAGGCTGGGGCTGGTCTGGGCGAGAAAGCATACAGTTTGGTATTGGTTTAGAATTGGCCTATTCTAAAAGTAGTATCGGGGACCCGGCGGTCTGGGAAAAGAGGTATTTATCAATAGCCCGATTTGTTTAATAGGGGGAAGGGATTCTGGGTGAAGTCTGTTGGAGCCCCTTGATTCACCTGAAACATGCGGGCTGTGACCTCCAGAGGGCAGTTCAACCAGTTCCTTGGTCCCCTGTCTTCCAAAAGGTCCGATCAAACACAGAGCCCAAAATGCTAGTGGTTGCCATCAGAAACTCTGGTGTTTGATTCGATTCCCCGACAAATGCTAACAACCCTTATGGTTTTAACCATGGGTGGTCAAAAATAGGTATCCAACATGGAACCCTGGTAAATGGAAAAGAGTAAAACCTGCGGTTTGCCCTAGCTCTTGGATGTTGAGCCACGGCCCCAGATTTTCTCAATCGAAGTGGATGACCCTTGGCGGCCTCCAAACGTCCGAGTCAAGGCGACGTTCGATCTGCCCAAGAAAGTGGGCAAAAACACAGGGTCCCAGTTGCAACCATCCTTTTTTCAACCTTTGTTTTGGGCCGGGTTCCCTTTTAAAGTCAACCCACCAAAAAAGGATGCCCTTCTTATCTCCCATAGCCACTGGGCATCTGAGGGGTCGATTGTGGACGCTTCCATGAGGATTCCATGGAGCCCTTGAGGGCTCTCTACATAGGCAAAAGGGAGATCGTCGACCAAAAGGGTGCTGTCAGTGGATGGACGAAATCCATTTCACACCACCTTGAATCCATGGAAACCATTTTTTGTTGGCGTTTGCCAGGGAAGCATCATACCAGGCTTTCCTCGGTGGTGCAGGATTTCGTCCATGCCCAGTATCACTTTGAATTCGACGCCGGGTGAACCGTGAACCTTTGTGTATGATTCTGGCCTTAGGGCTGCAGATAATATTAGCAGTAGTATCGGGTTTCTGCGGTAGTGCTCGAATGTCTCTTGCTCCCCCCAAGGTGGAGGACGTTGAGGTCTGTCCGAAGCCTTTCCCAGCCCCAACCTTGTTTGGGGGGCATCTTCCATGGTAGGGAGTACCAACATACCTCAAATGAGCAAGTAGTAAGCCAGCAATCATCTATCGAGTCTTAGTGGCTTATCGATTTGTGCGCATTCTTTCGCCATGATCAAAGTTACCCCTAGTTAACAGAATGGGCCCTGCAAAAGAAGAAGTGGTCATAAAGCAATGAGGGATCTACTTGAGCAAATAGTAGTGTTGATTGAGGTTCCAAACGATTAATTTCGTGTTTAGGCTACCGGAAAAAGCGACTGGAAGAAGCTTCGGGGAACCCGGTTTCTTGATCCCACCCCCCCGCTTCCCCCGATCTTTGGAGAAGCGAGCGGGGAGGGGAAGGCTGGACTTGTGAGTTTGGAGACTGCCCGACCTAGGTCCAAATCCCCAAGTATGTGTGTGTGTGTGTGCGAAAAGACGAAACAGATGGGGGACTCCCCGAAAAACACGAGGTTTTCCATAAGGTGTCCCTAAAACATCAACAAAAAGAGGTACCCTTAACAAAACGAGCCAAGTGCTGTCCGAAATGCAGTTTGTCCGGGGGGGCCGTGTCCAAGCTGAACATCGCAAGCACTCTTGAGGACACCTTGCTGCCCGCGCTGCTGCGGGTGCGCCCTGTGCAGGTCGGGCTTGGGGCCTGGCGAGTGTTACAGGGAGGCTTGCAGCTCCATTTTTCCTCACAGGGTTCACTTTGAGGGAGGTTTGAAGCGTCATAAAGCGGCAAATATAGCGACATCATTTAGACAGGACAAATCAATGTCCTCTTGGTCAATGATGTTTCGAGGCTGGAGATGTGAAACCCTTCTACAGAAAGCGCTGTCGACGCCTCGGTCACGCCATCGTTGGCAAAGGGCGCTGGCAGTTGTTTCTCACTGCCAACACAGAGCGTGTGCCAAGATGTCCAGAATTTAGGTGCGTGCGTTGTTGCCCAGGCAAGCCGTGAGGCAAAAAGTTGTAGTTTGACGGAAGTTGTTTGCATGCGTACGCTCCCTCCCAACAACATGGGACCTGACAGGGGCTTGCCTGCAAGAGAACAGTTGCTCTTGCATCTACTATCTCAGAGTCTCAGAGGGAGGAAGTGAGATCCAGGAGCAGTTGCTCATGTCCGCACAGAAAAGCCATGCATCTCATGGACTCATGCGACGCATCCGTCCGTGTGTCAGAGTGCAAGGCAAGCCAAAGCGCTGCAGCAGCCGATGTTGCAACCCATCTATTTCGGAGCATTATGACTGCCAAGTAGATACATATAAATATATCTAGCGGGAACTTGTCACGCAACAGATAGCTTAAGGTGTCCTTTATCTTGGGCCTTGCCTTTGTTATTTTTATTGGTGTCGGCTCAGTGCCATGGCAGCACAAAGAAGCGCTGGCACTGTGAAGGTGAAGGTGGAACAACATTCGGAGGGGAGTGCTTCGGATCAGGAATCGCCTGGCTTTGGCGCCAGATCTTCATGGAGAAGGTCAAACACAGCACGCGAGGCGAAATGCGGAGAGGCCAGGGAGCCCACTGCAGACCTCGGACATGTGCCTGACAAGCTTACCAGCTGGATTGAAGCTGTGCTAGCAAGCGAGTCAACGGAGTCACACTATTTGCAGATTGATATTCATTGCCGATTTTATTCCTTTGGCCGTCTGCACGGCCATTTGCCAAAGCAACTCAGGCAGGTATGGAGGCTATCCTCCTGGGAGACAGTCCTGGAAATGTTCCCGTGTTTAGAGCAGACCTGGTGGTCGAATGGCTGGGCATTTCAGTTGGAAGGGCCAGATACTCTGCTACTGAAACCCAGCGCGATACCCAGTGGTGGCAGTGCTTGGCACTTCCAAGATGGCAAGTCCTGGATCCCATTTTTCCTAGCAGATAGTGACCAAGTAGAAAGGATGTGGCAGAAGAAGCTGTGGCGAGAGTGGAGACCATGTCCAACAACAGAGGCACCAGAGCGCAAACTGCAGATTGGCAACACGGTTTACCTCCTTGATTTTGCATCCATGACTCAGACAAACCAAGCCACTGGCAGGAAGCGCAGGATTCGCCGAAATCTGAAGTCTGATTTGGACCATCGTCTTCGCATAAAAACACTGGTGGAGGAGTGAAGTGTGTTCAAGAAAGTAGAATCCATAAGCATTGAGTGGCTCCTTTCGGTTTCCGTTTCAATCTTCATCCTTCAAACAACAGTCAACGCATGTTATCCTCGAGGGTCCCTACGTATTTTTCGAAAGCCAGTAGAGGAGTTCAGGGCGGCCGCCACCAAAAGCAAGGCTGCAGAGAAGATAACTGCTGAGATGGAAGGCTGGAAGCTTTGGGTGGAGGCCAGTGATCATTCAGCCAAAGCAGCGCAGCAGGAGCTCCTCACCTGGAAGCTTAGCTGCTAGTTGGTGGGATAGCAAACCTTTAACTTGTTGGACAATTGTACATTTTCTCATTTCTCGTCAAGCAACTTGCACTTTTTGGGCAGGTTAGATCTTTAACCCTCACCCACCGTCCTACAGGAACATGGCACCTGACAAGGGTCTTCGATTCAAGAGCAAATTGATCTTCTACGTGCCGCCGCCGGGTGCTATGTCACTTTTGGGCCCCGAGTATTTTGTTCTCGTAGGTTTGGTGGGCTGGGTCGTGGAAGGGTCCCCGGTCGGTCGGTTGGTGAGTCGGTCGGCGGCTCGGTCGGGTCGGTCGGTCGGCCGGCCGGCCGGCCAGTCAATCAGTCAGTCAGTCAGTCAGTCAGTCAGTCAGTCAGTCAGTCAGTCAGTCAGTCAGTCAGTCAGTCAGTCACAGTTAGTTAGTGCGTTAGTTAGTCAGTTAGTCAGTTAGTCAGTTAGTCAGTTAGTCAGTCACAGGCAGTCAGTCAGTGAGTGAGACTGGGTCATCGTACTTGAAACTTAACTGCAAAAGGTGAAGGGGACATTGCATTCGGTTTCGTGGCTTCTATCAGGTTTAGGGATTGTCTAGTACGGCTGTAGGTTCGGGTTGGTTTAAAGTTGTTTGGGCATGGTTTAATGATGGTTTAGGGTGGGTTTAGGGTTGGTTTGGGGGTTGGTTTTTCGGTTTAGTGTTGCCATAGGATTGGGAAGTGTTTGTTTAGGATTGGAAAGGGTGTGGGTTTAGGGTGGGTTTAGTTGTGATTTTGGCTCGGGTTAGGATTGGTTTCGGGTTGTTGGGGCTAGTTTAGGGTGGGTTTAGGGTAGGTTTAGGCTGGTGTAGGGATACTTTAGTGCTGGTATAAAGGTCAAGGTGTTTAGTGTTTGTTTAGTACTGCTTTGGGGTGGGTGTGGGGGGATTCTGGTAGGCTTACAGGGATGCCTAAGTCTGGCTGAATGTGGGTTTAGGGTTGGTTTAGCATGGTTCCGGGTGGCTTCAGGGTTTGCTTAGCGCTTGTTTAGGGATGATTTTTGAAAGGTTTATGGATTCTTTAGCGCTGGCTCAGCGTGGGTTGCAAACATTATCCTGGCCGTAATGCTAGCGGAGAACCTGGAAAGCCAATGCTACGACAACCGCCACGAGCCACAAAAGCAACCAAACCGCCACGAAGCCCAAAAAGCACCCACCCACCGACAACTCACTCACTCACGCACGCACGCACGTACGCACTCACTCACTCACTCACTCACTAACTCACTCACTCACTCACTCACTCACTCACTCACTCACTCACTCACTCACTCACACTCACTCACTCACTCACTCACTCACTCACTCACTCACTCACTCATTCACGCACTCACTCACTCACTCACTCACTCACTCACTCACTCACTCACTCACTCACTCACCCACCCACCCACCCACTCACTCACTCACTCACTCACTTACTCCATCACTCACTCACTCGCTCGCTCCCTCACTCACTCACTCACTCACTCACTCACTCACTCACTCACTCACTCACTCACTCACTCACTCACTCACTCACTCACTCACTCACTCACTCACTCACTCACTCCCTCACTGCACTCACTGCCCTCACTGCACTCACTGCACTCACTGCACTCACTGCACTCACTGCACCCACTGCACGCACTGCACTCACTGCACTCACTGCGCTCACTCACTCCGCTCACTCCACTCACTGCACTCACTGCACTCACTGCACTCACTGCACTCACTGCACTCACTGCACTCACTGCACTCACTGCACTCACTGCGCTCACTCACTCACTCACTCATTCAGTCACTCACTCACTCACTCACTCCCTCACTCACTCACTCGCTCGCTCGCTCGCTCGCTCGCTCGCGCACGCACGCACGCACGCACTCACTCACTCACTCACTCACTCACTCACTCACTCACTCACTCACTCACTCACTCACTCACTCACTCACTCACTCACTCACTCACTCACTCACTCACTCACTCACTGTCACTCACTGTCACTCACTCACTCACTCACTCACTGTCACTCACTCACTCACTCACTCACTCACTCACTCACTCACTCACTCACTCACTCACTCACTCACTCACTCACTCACTCACTCACTCACTCACTCACTCACTCTCACTCACTCACTCACTCACTCACTCCACTCACTCCACTCACTCCACTCACTCCACTCACTCCACTCACTCCACTCACTCCACTCACTACACTCACTCCACTCACTCCACTCACTCCACTCACTCCACTCACTCCACTCACTCCACTCACTCCACTCACTCCACTCACTCCACTCACTCCACTCACTCCACGCACTCCACTCACTCACTCACTCACTCACTCCACTCCACTCCACTCCACTCCACTCCACTCCACTCCACTCCACTCCACTCCACTCCACTCCACTCCACTCCACTCCACTCCACTCCACTCCACTCCACTCCACTCCACTCCACTCCACTCCACTCCACTCCACTCCACACCCACTCCACTCCACTCCTCCACTCCACTCCACTCCACTCCACTCCACTCCACTCCACTCCACTCCACTCCACTCCACTCCACTCCACTCCACTCCACTCCACTCCACTCCACTCCACTCCACTCCACTCCACTCCACTCCACTCCACTCCACTCCACTCCACTCCACTCCACTCCACTCCACTCCACTCCACTCCACTCCACTCCACTCCACTCCACTCCACTCCACTCCACTCCACTCCACTCCACTCCACTCCACTCCACTCCACTCCACTCCACTCCACTCCACTCCACTCCACTCCACTCCACTCCACTCCACTCCACTCCACTCCACTCCACTCCACTCCACTCCACTCCACTCCACTCCACTCCACTCCACTCCACTCCACTCCACTCCACTCCACTCACTCACTCACTCACTCACGCACTCCTCACCCACCCACCCGCCCACCCACCCACTCACTCACTCACTCACTCGCTGGCTCGCTGGCTCGCTGGCTTGCTGGCTTGCTGGCTCGCTGGCTCGCTGGCTCGCTGGCTTGCTGGCTCGCTGGCTCGCTGGCTCACTGACTCACTGACTCATTGACTCGCTGACTCACTCGCAACTGATTGACGCACTCACACCCACACTCAGCCTCGCCCTCACTCTCGCTCACACTCACGCCCGTGCTCAGACTCACACTCGCGCCCACAATCGCACTCGCACTCACACTGACTTGGAATCATAATCGGAGCACTCGCACTCACACTGACTCGGACTCATGTACACTCG